CAGGCTGAGCCATGAGCCCGGCTGCCATGATTTTTTTTTGAGTCAGAGTCTCACTCTGTCACCCAGGCTGGAGTGCAGTGGCCTGGCCTATGCCATGATATTAAAATGGAATAATGGCTGGCCACGATGGCTCGTGCCTGTAATCCCGGCACTTTGGGAGGCTGAGGTGAGAGGATTGCCTGAGCCCAGGGGTTCGAAACCAGCCTGGGTAACATGGTGAGACCTCGTCTCTGCAATAAATAAAAAAATTAGCCAGGTGTGGTGGTGCGTGCCTGTAGTTCCAGCTACTTGGAAGGCTGAGGCAGAAGGATCGACTGAGCCCAGAAGGTCGAGGCTGTGGTGGCCATGAGTGTGCCACTGTACTCCAGCTCGGGTGACAAAGTAAAAAAAAAATTCTCATAAGGAGTGTGCAACCTAGATCCCTTGCACGTGCAGTTCACAATAGGTTCGTTCTCCTGTGAGAATCTAATGTTGCTAATGATCTGACAGGAGGCGGAGGTCAGGCGGTAATACCGATGATGGGGAGTGTCTGTAAATACAAGGTCTGACAATTAAGTACGTGAACTCATCATAGTAAAATTGCCACATACCTCACTGCTGAATATCACTGTAGTCATCTTTGAAGTACTTCCCTTGGAAAGCTGTGCACTCACACTAGCACCTAGTCCACCTGTCAAAGCAATTTTGGAACTTTTTCTGGAATGGCTATCAAAGCTGTTATCATGTTACCCTTGATATATTGAATGTCATCAAAATGTCTTCCTTTCAATATTTCCTTTATGTTAGGGTAAAGAAAAAAGTCATTGGGGTCCAGATCAGGTGAGTAGGGAGGATGTTCCAATATAGTTACTTGTTTACTGGCTAAAAAATTCCCCCAGACAGTGCTGTGTGAGCTGGTACATTGTTGTGATGCAAGAGCTTCTTTGGGACCATTTTTGCACACATTTCTCATGCCAAGATTTTCAGTTAAGATTTTCCTGTTTCTTTATCAATGTTTATTTGGTCTGTTATGCCTCTCACAGTCAGCCAACAATTTTCTTGTATTCTTTTTTTTTTTTTGAGTTGGAGTCTCACTCTGTCACCAGGCTGGAGTGCAGTGACATGCTCACGGCCCCTGCAGCCTCGACCTGCTGGGCTCAAGTGATCCTTCCACCTCAGTCTTCCAAGTAGCTGGAACTACAGGCACGTGCCACCACACATAGCTAATTTTATTTATTTATTGTAGAGATGTATGTCTCGCCAAGTTGTCCAGGCTGGTCTCGAACCTGTGGGCTCAGTCAATCTTCTCACCTTGGCCTCCCAAAGTGCTGGGATTATAGGTGTGAGCCACCACACCCAGCATGTCAGCCAACAATTTTGATGCACAATTTGATAAATTTTTGCAATGTTTTCATTGGTTTTGCTTGGTACTGGCCATACTGACTCCTCTTTATTAGTGATGCTTTCTCTCCCCTCAGAAAAATGTTTAATCCATTTGTACACTGCCATTTTCTTCATAATATTATCCCCATAAACTTGGACTAATAACCTGGGTGTGGTGGCTCACACCTGTAATCTCAGCACTTTGGGAGGCAGAGGCAAGAGGATTGCCTGAGTCCAGGGTTTGAGACTATCCTGGGCAACTTGGCAAAATCTCATCTCTACAGTGAATCAAAAAATAAGCCTAACATGGTAGTGCACACCTGTAGTTCCAGTTACTTGGAAGGCTGAGGTGGAAGGATCACCTGAGCCCAGCAGGTCGAGGCTGTGGTGGCCATGAGTGTACCACTGCACTCCAGCCTGCGTGACAGAATGAGACTCTGATTCAAAAAAACCAAAAAACTTGTCACTTCCACTCTTGCCAAGTTTAAGAAGACATTTAATGTTTGCTTGTTGCTCTAATTCAAGCTTCGACATTCTCATGATGGCACACAAAACTGCAACAATAAACGCCATTCAGCAAGACACTACCACATATCAACATGAACACAGCTGTGAGACACTGATATACCAAGGTTATGAAACCTTACTGAGTTGTTTGTACAGTGCTGCCAACATAAGCTCATGGTGGCAAGTTTGCGAACTTAATTGTCTGATCTCGTACAACTGAAGCTTCACTTATTAGCTGCTCACCTCCTGCTGTTTAGCGCAGTTCCTAATGGGCCACAGACTGGTCCATGGCCTAGGGGTTCAAGATCCCTGCTCTGGTGAATAGACGTGGATTGAAAAAGCAAGGGAGGATATGCAGTGGCAGAGGGAGAAACAAGGTTGATAGAGTGTTTTATTTAAAGATGTTCATAGTGGCTGGGCTCGGTGGCTCAGTCTGTAATCCCAGCACTTTGGGAGGCTGAGGCAAGTGGATTGTCTGAGCGCAAGGGTTTGAGACCAGCCCGGGCAACTTGGCGAGAACTCGTCTCCACAATACATAAAAAAAAATTAGCCAGGTGTGGTAGTATGCACCTATAGTTCTGACTACTTGGAAGGCTGAGGCAGAAGGATCGCCGGAGCCCAGCAGGTCAACGCTGGGGTGGTCATGAGTGTGCCACTGCACTCCAGCCTGGACAACTCAAAAAAAAAAAACAAAAGACAGATGTTCATAGCACATAGAGAGAGACAAAGCCAGTAAAGAGGAAGAAGGGGACGGTTCTGACTGGAATCTAGAATATAGATGCTTTGAGCAGAAGGAAGAAGGGACACCTTTTCCCCAGGCTGGAGAAGTTGATGGGGGTAGGAGCATCCACAAATAATGCTGGTGAAATCATCTGCTGAGAGGAAAACAGAAGTGGCGCAGGACTTTTTAGGAATGCTTGAAGTCATTCATTTCATTTGTTCATTTGTTTAACATATCTCTGAGTACTTACTGTGCTGTGGAAAATAGGAGTAGAGCTGACCAGGGACCTGTGAGAGTATGACCAAGTGCCACTGACGGCCCTCTGAAGACCCCACACAATCAGTTTCCCTTTCTTAAGTAGGGCTCAAGCCCAGTACTCGAAGGACAAAGCAGTTGTGGGAGGGGAGGAGAGGTGACAGACGCTGGCCTGTGGTTGCTGATGGCTGGGGGACCTGCTGTCCCAGTTGGAGGTCTGCTCAGCAACACCCTCTGCCCAGGTTCCACACACCCTGGACCATTTCTGGAGCTGTCCCTCTTTGCCTAGATCCTGGCTCACTCCTATTCATCACTCCAGCTCCAGTGATGGTCCTTCCAAGAAGTCTTCCATAATCCCCCGTCCTTCTCCCTGTCTCGGTAGGTGGCCCTTGTTCTGTGCACCTACCATTTCCCCTCTATCTGTATTTTCATCACACTACTATCATGAACTTCCCAAGTCCCACCCCCACAGCCCCTCAAGAACAGGGACTGTTTTTTAAATCTCTGCACCCCCAGGATGCAACGGGGGACCTGGCCCATGAAGCTTCTTAGGAAATGTTTGGTGAATGAATGGAATGGGGAGGGGGCTGCTGCCACCACTGCCACTCTGTGCTCTCTCAGATATAAACAGGTTGCCCAGCTGGAACAGAGGACATCCACCGACTGGTGTGGCGTCCAGCACTGATGCGTCTACCTTCTCCTCTGAAGGTGGGTCCCGGAGACCTTTGGCCCCAGGGGTCTCCAACACCCCTCACTTGGGAAAGCCAACACTTGGTGGAAGGAAGAGTTTGGTCCTGAAGAGGTTACCCAGCTGCCCACCTCCATCCCATCCCTACAGATGCTAGAGAGGGCCCCTTTCTCTCTCTTTTTTTTAGATTAGAAAATATAGTTTAGTTAGAAAGTAAATGAGAGAGAAGATTCACCTCTCCAAAGAAGGAGAGGGGACCGGAGTTTAGGAAACATGATGGTGGCCAGAGCACATGGCTGGGCAACCCCTCGGGTCCCCTCCAACTCTGGGTGCTTTTGTTCTCTCAATAAATCCTGCTTAAAAAA